TTTAATGACTTTTAAATTGGTGTGATAGAACAAATGAAATATCTTCTTGGCTCCTTGTCTTAAAACATTGACATTGACACAGGGCAGGTTTTTTGGTAGATTGCGTTCATTTTCTCATCCGGGAAATGGTCACAGTAGCAGTGGCTGGCATGTAGTAGTTGCAGGCGTTCGTTAACTATTTCTTAAATGAACAAATGGATGTTTAGGATAATTATTACTCAGTCTATTCTTTTTAAAACTGTAAGACTATATGGATCCCTCTGATATCTTAATTTCTTCTATTTGTGTTTTATAAAAAGGATATTCATATTTGTATTATTATGCCAAGTAATGTCCATTTGAGGATTATTATTTTTTAAATCTATCACTTTTCACGTATCATTTTTGGAAAAGGCACAGCATTTTGAGACACACCTGGGGTCATATTTTGACTTTGCAAGCCACTAGCTGTGTCATTTCCTTCCAGCTTTTTGGTGAGTCAGTATGTCCGGGTACTAAGTGGGGATGTCGTGAATATGAGCTAGTAAATTGTATGCCTAAATTGCTTTACACATTAACTGGATTTATATTTTAAAAAATAGCGTTCATTTAAAGAATCGGATTTGAGCTGCAGCCAGAGGAACCTGGTTGTTTGCCTCTGGGCTCTTCTGTGCTGGAGCCAGGCTTCCTGTCGTTTTTGGGGAGCGGGCGAAGCCCTGCCGGGGCCTTGGTGTAGTGAATACAGCAAACCCTCTTAATTTTAAAACGCTTTTAACCGAGATTTGCTTCCAATGAAATTAACGGGTGCAATGATACGCTACTCCCCAATCACTCATGAGTTGAATTTTACTTGGTTCCCTAATCCCATCCCTCTCATTATTGCTAATTTCTTTCTTATTTCCTGGCGTGTGCTACATAAATGTTGCCGTCACATTTCTGCTACAACGTACGTGCTTTCACAATGGTTATTTCTGTTGCAAGAATCGTCTTGCTCTGCTCTTATTTCGTAACTTCTGCATTCTCTTAACTATCTCTCTGAAAATGGTTAATATTTGTCAATTTCTTGGGTGATCTTCATGTGCACCGCCCCCTTTTATTGTTTGCGCTGTAATTGCTCTATTTTATTTATTTCTTTACCCTGTCATTACTTTGGCTGTCACCAGAGGCCAGGACGGTCCCAGGAACCAGGTCGCTGTGGGTCAGGACTTTGCCCTGGCGGCATCAGCTGGCACGGGGGTGCTTAGTGCGTGACGATAATGGAACGAGTTTGAGAACGCTTCGGATCTCCTCTTGCAGCGCCTTGTTTAGTGACAGCAAACTAAGCGTGGGCTTTTGGATAAACCCAGTTGTTTTCTTAAAATGACTCGGGGTTGAAACTACATTGAGCAGGGGTGATGGGAGAAGAGACTGGTTGACTTGTGATAAGGTCAGATTGGGCCGATTCTGTTTAACATCCTTTCCAGCTCTCCGCCGGCCGGTATTCCCAGTGCTGTGCTGTGTCCAGTCTGTGTCAGCTGTGGTCACTGGGCCAGCTTCCTGGGCAGCTAGGGCGCGGGGTTTGGGGAGCTTTTGCTGAGACATGAGACTCAGGTACCGGTGAGCGAGGTCCGGGAAGAAAACCTCCTGAGAGCCAGAGCTCATGTCAGCCTTGACTGTGGCTTCTCCCTCCCGCATCTCAGGCCTGTTTCCTGGGGTCTTGGTGGAAGCATGTCCAGGGCCATCTTCCCGGAGCTGCTGCCACTCCTCAGCCAGGGTGGTTGGAGATTGGCTGGGCTATTTAAAGGCGGTTAAATTTAGAGATTCCTTTGCATTGTGGTCATTCTAAAATGGCACTTCGCCTCCTGGTCCTGGGCTAGTCCTCTGTTGACAGAGGCTGGCTCCGTCCACAGCGGCTCATTCACTGTGGGGTTTGTGAAGGTTACAGGGCAGGGCACAGGGAAGTGAACTCGGGTGGGCGTTTTCCTCCCTGTGAAATACCTGTACCACCTGACCTTGGCTTTCATATTACTAATTAAGATGTTTAAGCAAACGCTTTAACATTTCAGAACACGGAGGACTGCCCGTCCCTTGTTCTGGCCTCCCGATTGCTGCCCTGTGGGGGCGGGGAGCCCCAAACTCACTGTCTGGGTTAGCCTGGTGGGGAAGGATGCCGTGATCTGTAAGGTTCTCCCTCGTGGGCTTGTTTGTTTTTTAATCCTCACCCGAGGATATATTTCATTGATTTTAGAGAGAGGAAAGGGGAAAGAGAGAGAGAGAGAGAGAGAGAGAGAGGGAGGGAGGGAGGGAGGGAGGGAGGGAGAGGCAGACATTGATGTGAGAGAGAAACGTTGACTATTGCCTTCTCATAAGAGCCCATCAGGGATCAAACCCGAAACCTTGGGGTGTGTAGGACGAGAGGACGTTCCAACCAGCTGAGCCCACCAGCAGGCTCCCTCTACCTTCTACACATGTGCATACGGCTGATTTCAGAGGGGAAGGGAGACGGAGAGAGAGAACATCAGTGATGAAAGAGTCATTGGTCGGCTGCCTCCTGCACGCCCCCTACTGGGGATGGAGCCTGAAACCCGGCCTGTGCCCTGGAATTGAACCATGGCCTCCTGGTTCATAGGTGGGCTTTTGGGGTTTTTTAAAGGACAATGAGGCTCAGCTTTATCCCAGATCCCATGGTGTTAATCTGCTAGGGCTGTCATAACGAGATACAGTGGCCTGCTATGGCTTTAACAAAAGAAATGGATTTTCTTGCTGTCTGGAGGCTGACGCCTGAGGGCACGGTTTCCGCAGGTTTGGTGTCTTCTGAGGCCTCTCCCCCAGAGGGCTGCCTCTCCCCTGTGCTCACAGGGCTTCCTGTGTGTGCCCTGGGGTCTGTGTCCAAGTTCCTGCTCACAGGGACCCGGTCAGGTGGGATGAGAGCCAATCTGGATTGTCTCTTTCAACACCGCCACCTCTCTGAGGCCCTGTCTTCAAGTACTGTCTTTCTGGGGGTTAGGGCTTCAATATATAAAATTAGGGGAGACATAAGCCAGACCATAGCAAATACAAATGACTTAAAGGGATTTCCTGTTACCACGAGCCTTGATTTTCAGCTGATGATGATCATGATCCTCAGGGACAGTTCTCTGATGGTGTCTAACTCTTCTATTTGAGAGGAGAACCTTTTCTCCTGTAAAGCTAAAACCCTAAATTCCTCATTTAACCTTTTTTTTTTTTTGGTAAAGTAATACATGTATATTTTAAAAGGTCCAATAGTGGTTGGAGGTGTATTTATAAAATAGAATTCCCTATCTCCACTTCGGACTCTTATCTGTTTCTTTTTGTACTTAATTTTTTTTTTTTTCAAATCTCCATTTGAAAAACAAAACAAAGTACTTATATGCATGCATATATCCCGTGGATTTATGCATGCATATAAGTACTCTCTGACTTTCTATGGACAGGCTGTTTTGGTTGACTATCATGGTAGATGAGGGTGTGAGTTCTCTTGTACCTTTTCCTCTATACCTTCATTCTCCTAATAAAATTATATAATCTTTAAAAATCCGTATTTGGTGTTTCCCTAATTGTGACTACATAAAAACTCTTTAGTAAGTCAGTACTATGACAGTATTGTCTTACTTTTAATTTCCCTTGAGTTTTTAACTCATTTTCCCCCCCATTTGCTTTGTTCTCTTTGGACCTAAGTTTAAATCTCCCACATCTTCAAATGTCTGTAAAATCCCTCAGTACAACATTCTATACTTTTAAAACCTGGAAGACAATTTACTCTCTTTCTTCCCCACAGAAATAACCATCTTGGGTCCCCTTCAGCATCGTGGTCTGGATTTGTTGCCTCTGGGCCTTTCAGATCTGTGACCTAGGGCTGCATCATTACTCTATCGGGGTTACCCTTAGATTTCTCCTACATTGGATACCATCTTGTTGGTTTCCCTGCTGATTTTTTTTTTAACTTAAAAAATTTATTTAAATTATTTAGCACTGGGCCAAAGTGAAACTATAGTAAGATGGATGGTTTTGTTACGCCCAGACTTCGTGATCCACAAGGACTACCTGGGAGCCGAGTCCGATGCAATAAACAAAAGAGCCTTTTCTATGCTAGCATGGGCTCTGTCCCACTCATGAAGGCAGCATAGTGGAAGAGAGAGCGAATTTCGCCCAGTCCAGGGGTTTTACTCCGATTGGTCGGTGGTGATGTCACTGCCTCAGCTAACCCTGATTGGTTGGGTGAGGGCTAGGGATAACTCCGCCCTGCCCTGCAGTGGAGTCGGGAGCTCATCCTTGCCCCGCCCTCCCCTCTCATTCCCCCCTTGTCTAATGTACCTAGTCAAAGCATTGACTTCGCCTACTTCCTTTCATCCCTGCTGATTTTGATGGACTATATATTCTCCATTAGATTCTTGAGAAAGGGTGGACTTTTTGGTGATTTTGCCTCTGTATAAATGTCTAAGTTCTGTCACCATTGAATATCAGGGCATTGCATTCAAAATTACAAAATAATCACTTAACTTTTTCCTTATTTTTAGAAATAGATACTGCATGCTCAAGAACCAAACTTTGAAGGACCTCGGGGGTTACAGACAGGAGGAGTTTGTTTGTAGCATGCGGAGTTTTTTGGGATGGTGAACTGTTCTGTGTCTGATTGTGATGGTGGCTACACCAGTTTCTGCCCATGGTAAAACCTGTAGAACGGTACACCCAAAGAAAAACGTTCAATTTGAATGTCTGATAGTTTAATGAAGTGAAAAACAAATGAAGAGAATGTACAAGTGCAGAAAGGAAGTCTCTTTTCTCTCTCTTTCCCTCGGCTCCCAGCCTTCCTTCTTAGAAGGAACTGCTGTTGTCATTCACATATGTTTTCTCCCACTTAGTCACCCACACAGACATTCACAGCAAATCGGGCAGAATGGAAGGAAGTTAAACTTGCTCACGTATTTTCTGAGTCTGCTAAGATCAGTGCTCTTAGAATGTGTGTGAGTGTGTCATTGGTCAGGCCAGGCGCTAACCGGGTACCCTGGTTTCTCCCGCAGTTGGCAAGCACGAACTGACTGGGCATAAAGTCGCTGTGAAGATACTCAACCGACAGAAGATTCGAAGCCTCGATGTGGTAGGAAAAATCCGCAGAGAAATTCAGAACCTCAAGCTTTTCCGGCATCCTCATATTATTAAACTGTAAGATCTGCTTATATTCCTAATATATTCCTGTCACTTTTTCATCATTGTTGCTAACCTAATTAACACACTGAGCGAGAAAGATGACTGATGTTTCTTCGGTCTGTTCTTGAGGGGTTTGAAGTGTCTTCCTGTCCATGTACTGGCATTAATCTAGCCTCCTTCAAGGTCACGTAGGCCCATGTCCTGTATTGCCCTTGTGCTTATCAGCAGTTACCTTTCTCATTCTTTCTTGTCTTCTGGATCAGTGCCCTTCGGATAGGATGTTCAGGGCCCGATTTGCTGCAGGACCAGCAGTGAAATCATTTGCTAGTCCAAACTCTTAGCCCCCACATCTCCACGTGTCACCTCACCAGAGACATGCAGCAAATAGGATTTCCCCCATGCTGCTTACGTCTGATAAAACCAAGGACAGATAATAGAGTATCAGGAACCCACTATTGCGAAAAGGCAGTAACGTTTACCGCCGTTTTACAGTTGCCAGTTATTGGGGTTTTAGGCTTTATTTATTTACAGCTTTATTCTACAGGCTGTATGTTAAAGCTGCTTAGGCTTTTGTGCCGAACTAGCTGACTCCAAATGGGCTTCCCTCTCACCGCTTCTCATTTGGTGAGGCGCCCCCGGTATTCAGTACTTGTCCATACACATCACCTGCTCTCACCTCCACATCACCTCCTGCTCTGCGGCCTCTCCCAGCCTCAGGCCCACTGCTCTCCATCGCCTCCTTCGCTTCCCCAGCGCTCTCACTTCCTCCCATCCGTCCCATCGCTTCCTTCTCAGCTCCTTCATCGCCATTGGCCTGGGCGGAGCTCCCTCCGTCTCATCCCGCTCCTGGTCTGTTGCAGCAGCTCCTGCATCGATCTTTACTGCGCTCCGTCTTCTTCCCGCGGCTACCACAGGTCACCTGTGACTAAGCCAGCTCACATGAGCACTCTGCTTGAAACCTTCGTCTTAGGGTAAATGCCAGAGCTCCATCCTGGCCTGTAAGGTTCTGTGTCCTCGGGCTTCCGCTCACCTCCGTGACCCCATCCCGTTTCTCTCTCCCAGCTCACTCAGCCTTCTCGCCAGCCTTGAGCATGTCAGGCAGACTTCCACCCGGGGGGCCTTTGCACTGGCTGCTCCCTCTGCCTGGTTCCCCTCCTTCTGAGACGGTGGCATCCTTCATCCCTCACTTCCATCAGGCTCTGCTCACACACTGCTTTCTCAGCGAGGCCTTCCGTGACCCTCCATAGAGAGGGTCCGCAGTTCGCTTCATTTCTCTCCAGAGCCGGTCCCACCTGAGATCATGCTCCTTTAGTTCTGTTTGTCGCCCGGCTCGTAGGACAGGAACCCCGGGAGGGCAGGAAAGTTTCCTTTCCCGCAGTTTTCTCAGCTCCCAGCACAGCACCTGGGCTGTTGGAGGTGCTGACTAAGTATTGATTGGATGCATGAATATACATGTTTTAATGCTGGTAGATACTGTTTTCTCTCACCAGGTACCAGGTCATCAGTACACCATCTGATATTTTCATGGTGATGGAGTATGTCTCGGGAGGAGAGCTCTTTGATTATATCTGTAAAAATGGAAGGGTAAGCAGTTCCGATTTAATCCTGTCCCTGTTTGTAACTCTCCTCACCCCTTACCAGCTTCAGGACCTGTGTGGGAAGCGATTTTGTTAAGAGGCCTGTTTAACACCCATTTCCCATAGTCATTTGTCCAGAATCAGATGGTGCTTAGAGCTAGTAAGGACCTTAAGGGTGGTTTTCTCAGCCTACTTGCACAGATGTGGGAACTGAGACTCAATTTATGTATTTGGTCAAGGTCACATGACTTAATGACAGAACTGAACTCATGATTCTCAGACAGTGTTTTGGGGGCATACGGATACTTTTAACATATATCTTACTTTTAACAAAATATATCATTAAATACTTACAGATCTAGGCCTTGCTAGCGAACCCTAGCCATATTTAAATTGCATTCACTTTTCTGTTTCCGAAATCTGATGTCCCTGAAGTAGTAAGCACAGGCTGCATGAAGGGCTTAGGTAGACTTAGAGAATTTAGAGTTGGAAGGAACGTTAGAAGACATTGTGAATAGTATCTTTAGTTACAGATACAAAAACTGAACTCTGACCCCTGCCCACACTTTTTCTCACATCCAGGTTATTGGCATGTGAAGTCTCTACTATAGGAGCCATAGCTAGCACCAAGAATCCATCCCCCCTCCCAATCTGAAATTCTTTGTGTCATCCACTTGTTCTGCTAGTATATAGCATATGTTTATTTTCATCACACTCAACTCATTAACCAAGTTTATTTTCATTTGCCATTTCTTAACATGGCTCATGTAAATTTGAGGCCTTCCACTTCTTTCTTCTCTGTATCTCCCCGCGCCCCCCTTTCCTGCCGGGACATACGGAAGTTGGATTGGCATCTTGTTTGCTTTTGCATTTCTTTGTGTCAGTCTGCTTAACATTATGGGAGTTTTCTTCTGTGTTTATCTGTTGCAGATTAACATCTCAGTTGACATCGTTTCTATTTCACGGGTCTTCCTTGTTTTCTGGAATTTTCTTTTCTATAAATAGCCTATTTTTTCTCCATAGATGTAATACTTATCTGAAGATGACAAGTAGTTAAATTTTTTTTTTCTTGGGATCCCTGCATTGTTTCTGGACAGTTTGTGCTCCAGTTCCCTGCTCCTTGGCCTTTAAAATTCACTTTATTGGTCTTACCTAGTCTTTTGTGCATTGGCCCCTCCTTACTGGCTGTCCACTCATTGAGAGTGAGGTTTGGAAGGCCGAGCTCATGGGGTGGGCCTCTACATAGGTTGGTTAGGTAGGGACTTACCACTATATTGGGGTTCACCAAAAGTCAGTAACCAAAAGCAGCTCTCTTTGGATCAGATGGTTGCTCCAGAAGGAACCTTCCAGTTTCCCTGGGCATCAGCTCAGCTGCCAGCAAGCTTTCAGCAGCCAGGAAGCTGAAGGGAAGAGGCTGCAGGTGACACTTTCATGCAATCCCCATGTTTCCCTTCTGGGGCCTCAGCCCTGCCTGGGTGTCCTTGAGGTCAGCCTTAGTGAGAAGCAATCATGGGTCTTACTCCCTAGCAGAGGAGTTTAGAACTTGTTTCTCCAACCAGGTGTTCTGCTTTCAAAAATTCCCGGGACTCCCCATTTCTGAGCCTTTCCGGGGCTCTCTGCACAGGCTGGTTTTTGCTGGCTTCCATCCCTATGGGCGTGGGTCTCGGCGTCCTCTGGCTGGCGAAGCCTTTCTCACTTCCATCCACTCTCCTGCGTGGTGGCGCCTCTTGATTCCTGCTGTCTCTTCTCTGGTTCTTTTTGTCCTTTCAGTAGTATCTCAAGGAGTGGAGGCCAAAGATTCAGTCTGCCATGTTTGACTGGAAATACGCTTTGAATTTTCTAAATCTTCCTTTGAAAATCTCCCCTCCTTCATCCTTTGTACTGTATTTATTATTAATATAGTATAATCTTCATCTTTTGTAGCCTATCTGGTTATTTGTAGCCTATCTTATATTTTAATTAATTTTCTTCTCTTTCACATTTAGAATACATTCTTTTTTCATTTAGTATATTTGATATGATTGTTTAAAAAAGGAAAACTACAAAAAAAAGGGGGAACTACATTTCTTCTAGAAATAAGGTGTTAGATTGCCAACTCATTAGCATTATTTTTAGAGGAATGGTATCACAGTACTTTGATAACTTTTTAAAAATATATATATTTTATTGACTTTAGAGAGAGGAATGGAGAGGGATAGAGAGATGGAAACATGGTTGAGAGAGAAATGTTGATTAGCTGTCTCATGTACACCCCACACTTTGAGGATTGAGCCAAAAACTGGGCATGTCCCCTGACCAGGAATCAGATCCTGGACTCCTGGTTCATAGGTCAGCAATCAAGGACTGAGCCACACAGTCCAGGCATACTTGATAGTTTTAATTTTGCTTTCAAAATATTATTATTTCATCTTTTCTCCCAGATTATTTATGCCATTTAAGGTATAAAAATCTCATTTTAGAATGCTAATTTGTGCCCAGTTTTAGAGAATTGCATATTAGAGTTCTTCACCTTAAGTATTAACAGCTTATTAGTTAAATACCCTTTCTTGAGTGCAAGCATGTCAAAGTAATAATTAAGGAGAAAAAAGTAAAATAAGAAAATATGGATAAAAGGAAGAGAATTTTTACTGGTAAAAGAATATTTAAAAACATGTAGTTGCAGCAAAAGGTAATCTTTTCAATAAGTCAATTAAAAATAAATGCTTTTATATTTTATAGAATAAATGGAATTAAAGTTTTTCTTTTGATAAAACGAAAACGTCTTTTATTTCAGGACGTAAAGTGAGATGATTGCTTGGTAATTCATTAACAATGCTTTAAATGTTACTCCCTCATATAGTCTTAACGTACTATCCCCGCCACAGCATAACTGTGTCCTTATTCTGCTTTGTTTTTCTTCAAAGCACCATCACTCGTTTATCTTATTGTCCGTTTTCTCAACTGTATTAGTCCCTCTGTTGCTACATAGCAGTAAACTGTACATGAGGTTTTCAATAAATATTTGTTAGGAATGAAAGATGACACGTTTTGAATTTATAGGAGAAAACATGTCTAGTTTTAGCAGAAATTGGAACTGTCCGAAACAGCTCGTGAGATATAAAGGAAAGCAGGCTGTGACAGTGGAGTCATGAAGGTGGTCCCCTGAGAAGCTGAGTCACTGATTTGGGTTCCGGGTCCTCCTAGCAGTGTTGTGTGTGCCGCCAGCTGTCCTCTGCATTTCCAAAGTATCTCACAAGGGAGGGCCGTGCATTCACACAGTCTTATAGGTTGGAGAATTAATTTCTGGAGAAAGACACACCTTTAAGATGCCTCTCTGCTTTCCTTAGCTGGATGAAAAAGAAAGCCGGCGGCTGTTCCAACAAATCCTTTCTGGCGTGGACTATTGCCACCGGCACATGGTGGTCCACAGAGACCTGAAACCGGAAAACGTGCTGCTGGATGCACACATGAATGCCAAGATCGCTGACTTTGGTAAGGAGATGCTCACAGTCTCGCCTGTGCATCGCGTTCAGAGAATGTGGGCAGCACTCGTCAGATAACTCTTACTTTTATGTCACAGACTGAGTATTGCAAAGGGGTGTATCTTCACCATTTCGCTCATGAGCATGCAAAAAGGAGGAGAGAGCTAGGAATTCTCTTCTTAGCTTCATGTCTTTAAAATGGAGTTTTGTGACACTAGGTAAGCACGGTAGTAGAGAGATCGTTTGAAGGAGGTTTGAAGGAGCCCATTATGTGAGAAGGAGAAGTTAGTGACCTAGTTCCAGTGTATTCTTTTGAGCAATTATGGAGCAAGAGGTAGGAGACTGGGATGGAGTTAGTCAAACTTTGGAAGCCAGAAGATGAACTATATGAACAAAATTAATTAATGTTTTAAATATTAGAAAAACCATTTCAACTTGAGAAAAATGTAATTTCAACCTGAAATTACAAATTTACAAATTATAAAAAATGAGTTGCAGTTCCTTTTATTTCCTATAGAAATTGCCATTGCCATTGTAAAATCTAACAGAAAAAGGAATTGAGTACATTTTTGAGAAGATATAGAGTCTTTTTGTAGTAAAACTATGAGGGAACTTTGATTTTCAAAATTATTATATTTTATTAAAGAATCAGAACAGGGAGTAAGAGAAACTTTCAAATTTAATTCTTCTCTCTCTATATATTTTTTTCTAGTAATTTCTGTACTAATAAAATTTAAACATGCCAAGTTTATTTTAGTAAGTACAGTGACTAATAGCTTAATATATGCTCATTAAATTGAAAAAATGCACTAACGTTAAATGTTGAAATAGATAACAAATTTTAGGGCATAGTGGCAAAATATTTGGGAATAGTAAAGACTATAGGATTTTGTTGGAGTAAAGAATAAAATGATGTATTACTTTAATGCAAACTCAATGGTATTGCTTAATGGAGTTTTGCTTCTATTTTTATCCTTGGGAAATCTTGAGTAGTGGATTTTGTGCATTTTCAGGTCTTTCAAACATGATGTCAGATGGTGAATTCTTAAGAACAAGTTGTGGCTCACCCAACTATGCTGCACCAGAAGTAATTTCAGGAAGGTAGTATTTGTCGCTCCCTGCCCTCAGTTCATCTGTAATTGTCTTTTTCTCCTAGGTTTTGTTAGTCTGTAGTGCCTCTAGTGTTTAATTTAGCGAAAGGATTGGAACTTAAGGCTTATTCTTTTCTTATCCATAGTGTTCTGTTTTAAGAATAAAACATTGTCATCAAGGCCTCCATTTATAGAGGAGAATGTTGATATGCAAAGTCAATGTTGCATTAAAGTAATTAGATGAGAGTACTTAACGTTTTTACTCCCTGGTGGAAGAAATTGGAGGTTTAAAACTAGTGAGTTTTAAAGGTAGGTAAGAACTTAAAAACTTGGTCAATACGGAAATACGTAGTAGTTAGAAGTGGCTTACTGTTGACTGAAATCAGGGGTGGGGAACTGTTTTTCTGCCGATGGTCTTTTGGATAGTTATGATTCACTTAACAGAAATTTACGTTGCTATGAATAAAGCTCCTAGATTTATTGAACTTCAAGTCTGCCTGCAGTGACCCTGCAGGGCCAGCCCAAATGATTTCATGGGCCTTGTAAGGTCTGTGGGCCAATGTTTCCCACCCCTGATTTAAATGAAGAATTAAAATGGAATGTGTAGCTTTAGTTTTTCAAATAGATAGTATTTTATAGTAGCTTAAGGTTTTATGATAAAATATCTTGGAGAATTGGACTCAAGTATTAATAAAATCTTCAGACTTCATTTATTTTAAATTTTCATTAAAAAATTTTTTTAGAGACCAAAACTGTAAGAATGCTAACCTCTTAAATTATTAAATTTATGTTTGAAACAATGAGAATCTTTGTAAGGTGCATCTTTTGAATAGCTTAGATGAAAGGGAAGTTTAATTTTTTTAAAGAGTATTTGTTCTTCACTGTATCACTGAAATTCAAAACAGAAGGTTCACTTTGTTTACTAGTGTTTATAATTAACTAAAAAAATATATTTTTTTAATTGATTTCAGAGAGGAAGTGAGAAAGATGGAAACATCAATGATGAGAAAGAATCATTGACCGGTTGCCTCCTGCATGCCCTACACTGGGGATTGAGCCTGCAACCCAGGCATGTGCCCTGACCGGGAATCAAACTATGACCTCCTAATTCCTAAGTTGATACTCAATCACTGAGCCAGGATGGCTGGGCTATTAGTTAACTTTTAAGAACTTTTATTCAAACTACCTGTCTTTGTTTGAATGTTTCAGATCCTGATTAATGTGTAATGCATAAATATTAAAGAACTTTCTATTTTCATCAGCTTGCTTATGTAACCTGTTCAGAGAAATTATATTTCTATAAAGTCATGGCTATGAATAAGACAGAAGTATCCTAATTTTAGATTTAGCAAGTTTTATCATTTTATATTAACTTAGTGTCCAAAATTCTTTAAGAAATTTCATTTATGCTATCTAATTCAGTATGTAGGTACTGGAGGCAGGATTAAATAACTAAAAATAAATGTATTGTAATTATGCATTTATGCAATGGGCCATGACTAAAGTCTAATTTTCCTAGTTTGCGTAAGGTCTTCCGGTAAGGTCTGGATGAATGGAAACTTTTACTTTCAAAACAGTGTTTATAGTGGGAAGAGATCAACCAAAGAACTTGTATGCATATATGCATAACCCACGGGCACAGACAATAGGGTGGTGGAGGCTTGGGGTGGGGGTAGGGATAGCTGGGAGAGATCAATGAAGGGAAGAGGGGGGACATATGTTATACTTTCAACAATAAAGATTTAAAAAACAAAAACAGAAAGACGATGTTTATAGATCAGAACAACAATTTCTTTGACCAATTTAAAGAAATCCTTTCTCTGAAGCCAGACTTTGCAAGGGGTACCTGGCCAGTCTGCCGCTAGGCTGGCCAGCTGGCTACCCTGCATGGCCAATAGAATCTGGGAGCCAGTTAGCACGGCTTCCTTCCAGTCTCAGGCCCCTTTTCCTTGAGGAAGTTTTGGGTCACTGGGGAGACTGGATGTAGAGTCCGTCACTGGAGAAGATGAAAGATCCTTTCCTCTCTCCTCTGTAATCAACAGTGGTTTTAAATTCACTGACGATGTAGTATTTGCTCAAGGTTTGGTTGACTATTGGTTGAATCTCATGAAGGCTATCGTAGGTAGTGAGAACAGAATTTTAGCTCTAGTCTATAAATTAAAAAACAAATTCCTGACTTTTGTTTTCAAAGAAAGTACTGATAGAATTAGTACAAAATCTTAATATGTAATATACAGCACTGATTTCACAAACAATATTATAATTATTTATGAACTATCCATACTTAGCATTTAAAAAAAAAATACATGTTTTTATTGATTTCAGAGAGGAAGGGAGAGGGTGAGCGAAAGAGAGAAACAACAGTGATGAGAGAGAATCACTGATCGGCTGCCTCCTGCACGCTCATACTGGGGATGGAGCCCACAACCCAGACATGTGCCCTGACTGGGAACCGAACCGTGATATCCCGGGTCATAGGTGGACACTTAACCACTGAGCCATGCCAGCCAGGCCATAGTTAACATTTTTGGTTAAATGACTTATTTAAGTTGCTAGTGATTACTCACCCAGGGGGTATTTCCCGTTGCAGATTGTACGCGGGTCCGGAGGTAGACATATGGAGCAGTGGGGTCATTCTCTATGCCTTGTTATGCGGAACCCTTCCATTTGATGATGACCACGTGCCAACCCTTTTTAAGAAGATATGCGATGGAATCTTTTATACCCCTCAGTATTTAAACCCTTCAGTGATTAGCCTATTGAAACACATGCTGCAGGTGGATCCCATGAAGCGGGCCACCATCAAAGATATCAGGTAATAGAGAAGCTTGCAGATTATCTGGTCTAATAGTGTCAGTATGCAAGTTAAGTGAAAGGAAAAGTTGCACGACAGTATGGACTATTTTTATGTTAAAAGATAGTGTATAGAGACACATTAATTTATTGTGTTATTTAAAAATACTATACTGTAACATTGGTAAGGAGGGAGGATTTTCACTTTTTACTTGTGCATCTTTATTTGTTTTGACATTGTAATAGTGAACATTTTATTACTTTTTAAATTAAAAAAATAGCTAATGAAAAATAAAAGAACCCTGAGAGGGTCCTGTTTGTAGTGCTTCTTTGAGATTTTTCTGCAGTATGCTTTATATTTGACTTTAAAGTATTCTTATTAGGATGAATACATTTTAGTAGTTCATTTATGTGTAGTTATTTGAGTTCTGATCTCCTGAATTATTACACTTTTTCCTTTTGTTCATCTCAAGGAATGAGAACATTTTGGTATAATCCATTACATACTTTTTGATTCTACCAGCTGATGAAAAAGACAAATCATTTTCTAAAGTTCATATTTTAAACTAAGTGGGAGATGCTTTTTCTTATTTTATGTATTTTTTTTTCTAATTTAAATCTTACTACAGCAATGCTTTCTCCTTCTTAAAATCAGAGGGCGGCCACAGCATTTCCCTTGAAATGCCTTGTTATTAGCTCTAGTCTATAAATTGTTTTTTAATTTATAGACTAGAGCTAATAACAAGGCATTTCCCTTGATATATACAATGAACTGTGAGCCAGAAGAGGAAAATCTCAATTAAAAAAACCCCAAAAACGATTCTACAGTATAATATATAAAATGAGTTTATGTCCTAAATTCCCGGCTGTTACTTTCGGTCTAATCTCTAGTAAAAATCCCTTCTCCTGCCCTACCTTTTTCTCTCAGGGAACATGAATGGTTTAAACAGGACCTTCCAAAGTATCTCTTTCCTGAGGATCCATCGTACAGTTCAACCATGATAGACGACGAAGCCCTGAAAGAAGTGTGTGAGAAATTCGAGTGCTCAGAGGAGGAGGTGCTCAGCTGCCTCTACAGCAGAAACCACCAGGACCCGCTGGCGGTCGCCTACCACCTCATCATAGATAACAGGAGGATAATGAACGAGGCCAAAGACTTTTACTTGGCGACAAGCCCACCGGACTCTTTCCTCGATGACCACCATTTGTCTCGGCCCCACCCTGAGAGAGTGCCCTTCCTGGTGGCTGAGACTCCCAGGGCACGCCACACCCTCGATGAATTAAACCCACAGAAATCCAAACACCAGGGTGTGAGGAAAGCAAAATGGCACTTGGGAATTAGAAGTCAAAGTCGACCCAGTGACATCATGGCAGAAGTTTGTAGAGCCATTAAACAACTGGATTATGAATGGAAGGTAGGAAAGAAAGGCATTCTCATTACAGGCACATTTGGCAAACCGGTAGTGTTTCATAGACTTGCTTGTGACTTTGTTTTTGTCCACACCGCACGCTAGGTGGTGAACCCATATTATTTGCGCGTTCGAAGGAAGAACCCTGTGACAAGTACATACTCCAAAATGAGTCTACAGTTATACCAAGTGGATAGCAGAACATATTTATTGGATTTCCGAAGTATTGATGGTACGTACATCCTAAAACACTATAGATGACTTATTAGACCTGTTACCTAACTTGGCTTTTTTGTCTTTGATTCTTTTGAAGCTTCTGGAATTGTTCCTGGTAACTCAATAGAAAAAAGTAAAGTAATAATATAAGATTTTGTGCTTTTGTCATGTCAACATTTGTAAATCTTGGTATTCTTGTAGTCTTATAGACTATATTGTCCTTTAAAATTATGTTGAAAAACTTAAAAAAAAAAAAAAAATATATATATATATATATATATATATATATATATATATATATATATATATATATGTTTTATTGATATTTTATGGAGAGGGAGAGAGAGGAAAAGAAAGTTAGAAACATCAATGAGAGAGAAACACCTGTCAGCTGCCTCCTGCACACCCCCTACTGGGCATGTGCCTGATGCAGTCTGATCCTAAAGCAATAGTTTCTGCCACATTTCTGTTTTTTGAAGTGGTTCATTCTGGTAAATGTTTTATTTAGAAACTAGAGGCCCGGTGCATGAGATTCACGCACTGGGAGGTGTCCTTCAGTCCAGACTGCATCCTCTCACAGTCCAGGAGCCCTCGGGGGATGTCCACCTGCTGGATGTACCTTCAGGGGGATCGGGGCTAAGCCAGCAGTCGAACATTTATCTCTCAGTCCAGGGCTCTTGCAGTCCAGGACTCCTTGCTCCTTACCACCACCCTTACCACCGCTGCACTTGCCAGCTATGAGCCCAGCTTCTGGCTGAGCGGTGCTTCCCCTGTGGGAGCACACTGACTTCCATAGGGCAGCTCCTGAATTGAGTGTCTGCCCCCTTGTGGTCACTGTGTGCCATAGCAACCGGTCATTCTGCTGATCGTAGTAATGATTTGCATATTACACTTTAATTATATAGGATAATTGTTGACTTTTCTGTAAGTTTTTGTTGAATAATTTCTTACCTGAATCTTAATACAATCTTTACTTTTCATTTGAGGATTAGGAAATAGTGAGTGGCTTTTAGAGTTGAGTGACAAGGCACTGTAAATAGATGTGATGAATACCTCCAGAGGACAAGGAACTATTTGCTGGGTCAGGTTTCTTGTGGGGCCCTTGAGAAACGTTTTGTAGGGATTTCTGGTTATTTTTCTCCTTGGAACCAGCCTTTTCCTGCAAGCTTGACACTCTAGACATAATCAGAGCTACACAGCTTTTGTCATTTTTGTGAGAGTTACATGTTTCCAGTACTATTTACCTTTCAATAAGTGTGCTTAAATAATAGATCGCTTTTGTGTAAAATGCACTGTAGAAGGATTCCTGAAACGAAAGCATTTTATGTCCATGGTAACTGTCATAGTTAGCTAACAGTGACATTAACCTTATACCTAGACTGTTGAACATTTCTAGTTACCAACTATTATAAACAATCATAGACGACCTGATGATCAAATCACTGAAATATTTAGATTTTTAAATTAGGTCTTTTAATTGGTCATTAAATTAATGACCCTGTTGCTTTGTAAGATCGTAAAGTACCTTCTTGAATTTTATTAAAGAAATATTACATTGAGTATTGTTTTACTGTTTTAATAGTTTGAAAATGAAAATCTCTACTTAGAAAATACATCTCTGATTACCATTATGCATGATTTGCCAGGATATCTCCTTCTCAAATATTTAGATTAGTTAACTTGAAGAAAATTAATTGCAGAAAGCAGATACTTGTTTTTTTTGTTTGTTTTATTTTTAAATGGGGAAAAATGTCTTAAATGCTAAGGTATATCTATGATAAACTATAATACTATAGTAAATATACAATAATCTTGACGTTTGAAATTTACATTAACTCAGATTTCCGAAGTATATATGCTTTTAAATTAATTTATCTTATCTATTAAAAAAACCTGTTGGAACACATTTGACTCATAATTCAGGTAAATATTCTTTCTCTACTACATCATTAGAAAAGGGTATAGATGTATATATAAAAATTCTCTAATAAACAAAACCTATAATTAAGTAAATGTTTATGGCAATTCTTTATTAGACAAGTCAATTGAGTTACGATGTGTTGATATTTTTCTTCATCTAAGATTGTATGAAAGAGGTGAGATGACTCACCTCTGAATTCCTTTGTCTTTAAACACTCAAAGATAGTGTCTACATAGTGTCAGAAAGACACAGATTTGAGCTGTGATATGCTGTCCAAACTTTTTCTGCTTATCTTTATGTCTAAAGAGTGCTTATCTGTTAACACATAATAAGTCAGACAGAGATATGGAATGGGTTTTGCTTTTTTCATTGTTTTTGGATGAAATTCTCAACTTTTGCACCTGGTTTACCAATGCAGTGATTACTTATTGTTTTTGTATTGTGTTCCCAACTTCAGTTTTTTCCTGCTTTTGTTCATTGTTGCTCTTTTATGAGATCTTAGATCAAATATGAAGAGGAAATGGGTGAGTGAGAAACACTGAGATGAGAGTTAGGAGACTTAGATTCTAGATTTACTTCCCGTTCGTTGATTACCAGTGGCAAGTCAGTTAACTTTTGGGGGTTTGTTTTCATCTTGATGAAACAAAGAGTTGGATGAGATATCTTCCAAAAGTACATTTATTCTATGATTTCATTATGGAAGGATTAAGTTTTATAGCTAAGGTTGATATTTATTAAGCCTCAAGTTATTAATTTACTGGGCACTTAATCTTGGATTGCAAGATTGATGAGTAGCTACATACTTTACCCAATCTTTTTTTTTTCTTCTTTCATTTCATTTATTCATTCATTCATTCATTCATTCATTTTGTACCCAATCTTGATGAGCTATCAGGAGAATGCATGCTATGTGTAAAAAAGGTGAATAATTTAATAATGATGCTTTGCTTCTGTTTGAGAAGGGATTCAAAATAGACATGCTCTTTTTTTTTTAAATATTTTTTTTTATTGATTTTTTACAGAGAGGAAGGGAGAGAGAGAGCTAGAAATGTCAATGAATGAGAGAGAAACATCGGCCAGCTGCCTCCCGCACACCCCCATTCGGGGATATGCTCACAACCAATGTACATGCCTTTGACCGGAATCGAACCCGGGACCCTTCAGTCCGCAGACCGACGCCCTACCACTGAGCCAAACCAGTTTCGGCCAAAATAGACATGCTCTTGATAGCTGGTCAATGATTGCACTCAAAAAAGAAAACGAAATACTACTGAAATTTGCGGGTGTGTAACGGATTATAATAAGTTGAATTGTGTTTTACCCAGATGAAATTACTGAAGCCAAATCAGGGACTGCGACGCCACAGAGATCGGGATCCGTTAGCAACTATCGGTCTTGCCAAAGGAGTGATTCGGATGCGGAGGCTCAAGGAAAATGTGCAGAAGCTTCTCTTACCTCATCTGTGACCTCACTTGACTCTTCTCCTGTTGACTTAACTCCAAGGCCTGGAAGTCACACAATAGAATTTTTTGAGATGTGTGCGAATTTAATTAAAATTCTTGCACAATAAACCTAAAACTTTGCTTATTTCTCTGATAGCAATAAGCATGCATATTAAATTATAGCCAAATGCTTCCATTTATAATCAAGTTATACATAATTATAACTGAGGATTAGCCTTTTGGAATGCATTTTGCACAGGGATTGGAACCTGGTTTAGTTAAAAGCCTAATGCGCAAAAAATGAATTAAGGTAATTCTGTTCACTGTTTCAGTAGGCATATAGCATCCTAAAATATACACAATGAATTATAGGTCTCTCAGGCTCACTTGATTTTTGGCTCTTTTATATTTAGTGTACACAGGGCTTTGTAGAATATTAATTTACCATAAAGGCCTTCATTTGTTATTACATGTTGTGTTATATATTTGCTTCATAAATTTATTCAATAAATATTTGCCTAGAATCCCCAGAGAACTTTATGGGTGATTTTGTTAACTTCTTAGGCAGCACGTGTCTTCCAGCAGTAGGGCCAGCATGGAGGTCTCGTCCATATCCCTCCCCCTAAGTATTCTATAGTGGATGGTGAGTCACATCGAAGATAGACACATGCAAGTGTTCTCTTTAGTTTGGTTTAGTCCAAAAAAACACACACAGAACCAACATTTAGATTTCTAGGCATTGAGTTTAATCTTAACATTTTGTCCCTATAATCTGTACATACATTGCTCTTTTTGTCACAAGAGCTGAGTTGCATATACTGTGAATACATCATGTTGTTTTTGCCAATCTTACCTGTTCCTTTGCTCCTCCTGTCAGTATTGAATGTATGCAAACATTTCTTGTTGTTCGATCATACATCTTTTAAATCGATTCATTGCACAGAAAGAACACCTCTTACAAACTATTTAAAGGTTCAGATGTGATTTTTGCTTCCAGATTTCATTATAAACATTTATACATGTGTGTCTAACATTTGGATTCAACACTTGTTAACCTGTTGCCATATTTGCTTTATACTTAATTGTGTATATGGATATAGTTATACATATATTTTTATATATATGATATGCTCTTCCTTGAAACGTTTGGATGTTTCAGACCTACTTGTTACCCCTCAACACGTCAAGCATGTTCTAAAAATTACTTAAAAAAATAATATTGTCCCTAAAAACCATAATCCTGTTATAAAAATAATTCCCTAATGTCATTTAATCTTGCATTTTTAGATTTTCCCAGTTGTTCTCCACATTTCTTTTATAGCTTGTTATTTCAAACCAAATCCAACTAAAGTTTACACATTTCATTACACATTTGGTAATGACCTCTGAGTTAGGTATAACACTATTTCAGTAAAATACGGACATAATTGGATAGTTTTAAATGGTCACATTTGTTTTGAATTTTAAATTACTTTTAAAAAGGTAATATTATGGGAACCGCCTAAGAATGCTTAACTCCCTAAGATTTCTGATTTATAGTCTTTTTCTTGCTCTTAACAATAGCGTTACATAACAGGTATAAATGAAGATTTAAAGTCAACTCAGATAAAATTGCTATCATGTGTATGCTAATTAAAAAAATGAAAGTATTATCCATATTCGCCTTATACAATTTTAACTTCAAGAAATGGACATTTTTTCCTATTAATCATTTTTCCATTGTAAAAGCTTTTTCCCCCCTTTCTCGTTTAAGACTGTTATTGTAGGGTTTGTTTGTTTTGCCTGTGTGGTTTTTTTCTTTGCAAATACAGTGAGCCCCTGTGTCATTGAATAGTAATGTACTCAGATGTCACGATGGCTTGCACAGAACTGTAGTTGTTGATTATTTGCCTCCAGCATCCCTAGAAACATGCACTGAATCCAAAAGAAAAATCTTGGCTTCTTTCTGTCCAGGGCTTGTTCTATTCCATTTAGAGTCTGAAAGCTGTATAATATGGGAGGAGTTCCTTTTAGGTATAAGTTCAAAACTGTATTTTAAATTGTATGTGGCCCTCTGTTTAGAAGATGCTGACTTCTGTAGGCTCTCTAAATGCAGCATTGTTCCTGATGTTAGGAACAGAGACTGCATTTTTAAAGTTACACAGTTGTACATAGAACTAAGGCATTGCCGTAATGTCTCTGTAAGCTGTATGGGACGTGGGGGGGAAGAGGGTGGGGAGACAAAAGGAGGAACCAATTAAATAGGATCTTCTAGAAATTGTTACTTTTGTACACTTTGCTTCTTTTTAAGTTATTGTGATTCCTTTTAGTTACTGAGTTTTATTTGGAAGATATTTAAATATTGCACTTGTACAAATAGTATGATAAATGCATAGACTGTTGCAGTAAGTTCTTTTTTAAGCTGGGATATTTGAAAAGACAGCCTTTCGTTGAGTATGTAAAGGTTGCATCAGAATTTTCACGAGTTTATTGTCGTTTGCAAATTCTTACTAATTGAAGATGTAAAGGAGTCAATGCAAATTATTTTTAATCTTTTTTTTATCTTTTCAGCAATTTATATTTTTTGTGATTTTATGCAACCATATTTTTACTTTGTTTTGACAACTGAAAGATGTATAAGGTTTTTTTTGCCAGAAATGTACTATATACATAGTTTTAAATATAACAGATTTTACTGATATGTAAAAATTTTGCCATTACAATAAATGATTTCTCACTGAGAGGAACTTTTCTACCACGTTGGGGGATATGGAAGCTTAATATATCATATCTAATTTAAAATAATTTCACTGAAATAAAATTCATTGCTTTTACTTTGATTATATATTCTCTTGAGATGCTTTTATAGTTGTTTTCAGAGTTTTAAATGATTTTATACAAAAAGTCCTGCCCTCTCATACCCCTGCCCCACCCTTTTTGACCTTGTATTAATACCATTCACATTGAATAGCTGCTTGCTGGACTGTGGCTATGCATCTCTGCTCTGACTGGCACCTTTGGAATGAAAGAAAAGTGTGTGTTCTTTAAATCTTTCCCCCTTAAACTCCTGTTGCCCACATCCACAGTAGAAATCTATGCATCTCTGCTCTGACTGGCACCTTTGGAATGAAAGAAAAGTGTGTGTTCTTTAAATCTTTCCCCCTTAAACACCTGTTGCCCACATCCACATTAGAAATCTCTTTCACTGTGAGTTCTGGTCAGATGAATGAAATCCCACACACAACATCATGGTAGTACGGTAGAAATCAATCTCCTGGTGCATTATTCTGAGACATGTTCATGTTTGTTTTAATGGAGTATAAGTATAAAATTTAAAATGCTTTGATTTAGAAATGAATAAAAACCCACCGTTTTTCATCTTGTACAATGTGCTTCACTTTTTTGTAGCCTCTGGGAAAACGAAATGGGAAGGAACCCATTCCTTTTTATTTTTTATTAGCTGACCATCTGCACCTTCCTTTTAAAAACAAGGTACCTAAATATAATTAGCCCTAACTGGTTTGGCTCAGTGGATAGATCTTCAGCCTATGGATGGAAGGGTCTCAGGTTCGATTCTGGTCAGGGGCATGTACCTTGGTTTCGGACACATACCTGTGGGGAGTTGCAGGAGGCAGCTGATCAATGTTTCTCTCTCATTGATGCTTCTGACTCTATCCCTCTTGCTCTCTCTGTAAAAAAAATCAATAAAATATATTTTAAAAAATATAATTACAGTGCTTGAACAAACATTAACTTTTGTCTCAACTCTAGAGGAAAGATTTCACGGCCTAAGTCCAGGTGAGTTTGAGAGAACATGCATTAAAGCTGGGGACAGTGAGGCAAGGAAGGAATCAGGGTAAAACAGCAATAGGAGAGGCGAGGCAGAGCTCTGAAAGGTTATAGGAGAGACTGGAGGGGCTGCTGTTAGCTCTCCAGAGACTCAGAGAAAAAGGCGGCCTTGGAGACCGCACCAGGGGGTGAGCTTGGAATGAGCTTCCACTGGCCATTGCTCCCAGGTTGCAAGTCTCATGGAGATCCCTAGGGTTTAGGAAGAAATGAAAAGTTCATGCCCTGGAAGGGGCCTGGATGCTTCTAGAGCGAGTGAGCCCACACTGAGTCTTTGTCCTGAGGGCTTCTATTCCCAACCCCACCCCTTTTTTCCCTGCAGGTAAAACCTTAGGGAGGGTTTCAGTAAAATATTCATCAGGTTCCCTGGTGCCTTTTAAATATGACGATGCATCAAAATGAGGGTATAATGGCGTTATTCTTTGGTCTGCTTTATCTTAGGTCTGTCTGGCTTTAATGGGGTTTTTGTTATTTGCTCCCTGACTTCATCTGCCCTCGGGGTAGCTGGCACAGAAGGCATTAATCCGGGTCTTTGTTCTCTTGTGTCCCAGGCCAGGGTGACTTAAAAGCTCTCTAGGGGCAGGGTGCGGAGGTGTCAACACCTGCTTCCAGGTGTCCTTGGCTGGGCAGATAAGGTCTTGCGTGATTCACAAGCTGGCTGACTTTTAAATTGTCCAAATGCTTTGGCCTTGTTTAATTTTCTGGCCCGTTTTCCTATTCCACTGGCGGGGGCGTCTTCCCAGCTTCTTCCTCTCCTGCCGCCGGAGGCCCAGCCTGCAGCAGCACTGGGGCCATGGTGGCCAAGCGACCTTCCTGCGGGGATGTCTGTGCCTCTGGAGGCGGTTCGGTGGCCACAGCCGCTGGTGGGCGCCCAGGGCCTCTCCCCACCAGTGACCGCGCCGGGCGAGGAGGCCTGGTCCCCAGCCATGGCCTTCCCCCACACAGGACAGCCCCAGTGACAACCATCAGACGCTTCCCCGTGTGACTTTCCCGCACTTGTTCCCAAGACAGGAACCACAGCTTTGCCCAGACCGTCATTCTCCCTCCTTGGTCAAGCTCCTGTCTCCCCAGGTCCCGATCGCGACGCCCCCCGATCGGCTTCCCTGAGCCCTTCTTTAGCGAGTCCGCCTCTGGCCCCTGCGTGTGGCCGGCCTCCATGGCGGGGTGTCCCCTCCCCTAACGCAGGGCGTATCTTTTCGGCAGTAAAAGTGCCCACAGCGCTCAGCCCGCGCCTCGCCGGCCACCCCGCTCCCCGCTGGGCCGCGCAGCCGCAGCTTCCCCAGCCCCCTCCCGCCGGCGCCTG